GAAAACATCATGAATCAATATAATATAGGCTGTCTTATCAAAAAAGAATAAAGCTGACAGAGAGCAAATGAGAAATACTTATAAAACTGTAAAATGATTGGTCTATTTATCTATGCATACTGAGTATCTACAATAATAAAGAACCAAGGGTGTTAATTGCAGAGACTAGTCAAATAAACTATCCATATATATATATACTTGCATTTTCAACAACCATAGGATGAATGTTGATATTTCAAAATAATGATGTAAAGATGATGTAGTCTTTGACCTTTTTTATTTATGCATTCCGGTTTCATATAGCCATTGGTCATTCAGTTTTGTCTAATTTGTTGTATATTCATATTTTCCACCAGCCAATAACCATAACTTTTCTAAAATTTATATGTGGTTTATCAGCCAATTATCATAGGTTTATATTAAGTTCTGGTTTATGCATATTCATATTTCTTTCAGCCAATGCCCATCAAGTTTAATTTTTTTTTTTTTATGGATATTTATATTTCTCAGCCAATAATCATAAATATTTCTTATTTATTTGTGGTTTATGCATATTCATATTTTTTATCAGCCTATGACCATATAGTTTTTTTTTTTCATTTTGTTTTGCTTAGCAGTCACCCTTGGTGGAATGGGTAAGTTGCTAAATAGCTAATATTTTAACATTTCGTTTTAAAAAAATTGTTGTGTTTTGTAAAGTATATTTTTGTTTTGTTACTAATTGTTTTACTTTATCTTTTTAGTATAGTAAATCATACTTATTTTTTTGCATGCATTGTTTACTATTGAATGAAAATTTAGTAGATCACAAATATAGTCACTGCTAGTCTTTTTTATACCTGGGTCCACAAACTACCATCCACTGATTATAATTATTATATCCACCTTTGATTGAAGGTCTTTCAAAAATAAAGTTTGCTAAGTATATATAACAAGTTCTTGCCTATTTATTCTTTGAGTTTATTTCTGAAGGGAAAAAACAAAAGTAGGAATAGGATTCTAGTAGATGTCTAATACTGCATGATTCTTAGGGAAAACACTGGAACATTTCAACCATTTTCATAGTATTTTTTGTTAAATATACGGTAACACCAATTTTACATACAATTGATACCTGTTTTAAACACCGATTCACTCTCATTATTAACATTATTTGTAGACATTTTCATATAGAGTGGAACTAAATGTAGCTATGTATATTTTGGATGAAACATATACTGCTTATGTGTATGTAATATATACTTAAATATTAAAAAAAAACAAGTTAAATTTCCTTTCCTGTAGAAAAAAACTTGAATTTCATTGCAATCACAAGAAGAGCAGTAATGAGAATTGAACCGGGTACCAAGATTATGCAAGGATCTCCATGGTTCACCGCACACACAGTCAACTATGACCAGTTAGCCAACTTTAGAAGAAAACTCATTTTGTAGGATTTGAATCCATCACCTTAATATTTGAAAGCTTGCGTCTTAAGTACGAAGCCGCGTGTCCGCCTACTTAATTTTTCATCTCGAAATGTAGCGTTTCGCCACTGTATCAATCGTTCATTTACATTTGTCTCCCAAAGCAACTACAAGAGAATTAATTGCGTTTGTATAGCTGCTGAAACCAAATTTCCATAGTTTACTCTTAAAGGGTGCGATTGATAGCATAAACATAATTAATAATTGAAAAGTTTCACATAAAATCAGTATATCAGTCACTGGGTTTTGCAAAACCACTAATGAATCTTTAAGTACTAATGTATAGTGCAATTTTGAAGGTTTCTTGAACCTGCTCAAGTATGTGCATTAGTATATGAAACCCATTTCAGACACTACAGAAGTATTACGGTAAACACACCGGGATTGTTTTCTGTCTAAATAGATTGATACACCAGCATGCTGGTTTACTTTAAACCGCCTAACACCCTATTGCTGCAATATTGCATTAACTGTTACTGGTACTTGGTTCTACCAACTGAACTCTGGGCAATGGGCGGCCTGAACCGGCATTGATTTTAAGGCTGTACTTCGCGTGTCCCTCTATTACTGTTTGGTCTCTCGACTAAACCACTGGCTTGCTCTGTCTAAAATGATCAGGTAGATTTTGCAGTATTTAAGCTGGCCTGCACTTTGAGGCAAGGTTGAAGTTGAATCAATGAGCTAATCTGGTATTTAAAGTTTTAACTGCCAAATTACGCCATTGTGTTGGACACTTTCTTTCAGAAAAGCATCAAGACTACCGCAATATTGCAATAACAAAGACACGTCTGTGCGAAAGTTTATCTGCCGGTAATATGCCAGCCTGCAAACTATTGCAATGCGGCTACATCAATCTGGAAGAGGCTTTAGATACAATATTTGTTAATGAGCTATACAGTAGTATACGAGTATTGCCTTCTATGAACCAGAACACAATTATAGTATGTCTTCATCTTGATTGTGAAACACGGCAACAGATCAATGAACCATGACGCCACGGGGTGCAGTTTTGTGTTTGCGCATAATTAATTTGAATTGCGGATTTAAATTGCTGAAGGGTTGGAAGGGAAGTTAGAGATGTAGTGTGTCCATCAAGGCCTTTAATAATACAGGACAAATTTAATGTGAATAAATTTAGTTAAGGCAAAACTCGTTGAGCCACAGAATACAAGTATGATATTTTAAAAGTAGTAAACAAAAACATCCAATCAGGCTATGATTTAATTTTAACACGTTGACTGCCAGACCCTTTTTTAAGGTTCCTTCCTGTGTGCAAAAACAAGTTTACATATACAAACATAATTTTTTGAAATTTTATCTAGTCATATATCATTATTATTATTATTATCATCATCGAAATGATGTGTCTAATAAATTGGCAGAAAAGTAATTGGGGGTGAGTTTACTCGTCGACGGCACAGTAATAGAACGTTTTATTGACTATGCCAAGTGCAAGTTATCTCGTCCGCTTTTTTGCATTGGTTGGTATATATGTTCAAATGGTGCCCCCACTTGTGCCACTCGATTGTACTACCGGCAACATAACACAACAAACATACATACGTCATGTGTACGGTATCATCTAGGTGTATCTTCCCCAAACTACCAGCCATTGAGTCTGTGGTTCCACAAGAAGTTATAAACGCTAGAATGTTAACGCGATTTTGACGAGTATACTCGTCCCTGGCACCCTCAGCAACACCCTGTGAACGAGTATACTCATCGCTGGCAGCCAACGTGTTGAGTGTCCTTATTTGTAAAAATTTGTCTCGAAAACAAATTCTCATTGCCTTTGAAGATGCGGTTGTATATTTGCATTAGCCTCTTTTGACATTGAAATATGCACAATTTCCGATTGACATTGCCAAGATTTTACTCTTGTTTTGACACTGTGGTCACTTAAATATAACTTTATGAATACTTAATTAGCACAAAAATAATTTAAAGCCTTGGTGTATGGAGAATCTTTGAATAATCTTCATCTTTCCATAGAGGTCACACTTGCCGTAGAGGTCAAATTATAGTTAATTAATGTTGAAATAAACTGCTTATCCTTGTAGGAACTACGCGAAAACAAATTTCAACATACAATATTTTATGAATGCCAAAATACATATATTTTGGATTTTAAAATGCTATAATATGACAGAAGTTGGATCAAATAGGCTTAAAAGACATTTGGAAACAGTGTTAATGGGTCACTCAGTCATTTAGGATTTTTTTTAGTCTTAATTCTTGTGTACCACAAAGGCTAAAGTCTATAATTAATTAAATTCATTAATTAAAGTTTGAAACATCCTATTGCGTGCTCTTTGAAAAAAAAAAATAGTTGACCCTAGATTTGAAGAAAAATATGGTCAGGCTTATGCAACACATTTTTTTTTTCTATTCATAATTATTTATGTTTTACCTAACTAATTGTTAATATAAAAAAATTTATTTTTATATCAATTCATTATATTAATTTTCATTTAATTGCACGTTTAAAAAAGTCCGGTAGAAGTTAATTAGGCATAATTTTTAAATGTTTAATTCGAACCACATAAGGCTATGTACTCAGATTAAGATTAAAATGTAGATAAAGTTTTACTTAATACTAAATAGTCATTTTAACCTAGAATGTCAGTTTATGTTATTTCATTTTTTTTTTCACTGTTTTTTCCTGCTAAATGATTCATATCTGCATGATTCAGCTTGTCACATTAACGCAATTCATTCTTTCATCAGCTTTTCATGTTTTTTTTTTCATCTTGCATCACCACAATTTGCATGTCTTTAATGTTTAAATTATCAGTCAATTATCATTGTACTTATCATAGCTTGCATGTCAGTCTTGTTCCAGCCTTGTGTAAAAATTGCCTAATAAGTTTATTTAGCTTGTGTCGATAACCCAGTGTATATATTATATAAATTCCTTTTTTTTTTCATTATGTTTTTTCTCTTGTAATTAAAGCCTTGGCCTAGAGGGGACATTTTGTGATTTATTACTTCCTTTGGAACACCACTAATAAAGATAAACTTTCAATAAATTGTCACAACCCACACACATAGGACTTTTTCCCTCAATGCAAGTTGATATTAATGAGTTGTATAATGATAAAAATTTGTAGAATGTTACATTCTTGAAAATATTTGTATCCTTTGGTGCAATAAATAAGGGTAATATTGACAGATGTTGTCTTAAATAATCTCCAGTCTAAATTTTCAGTGTATATGATACAATATATTTTTCGTATTAATTACAATTTTATAGGATAGTTTTATGTTCACTGAAAATGGAATTTTTGTTATACCTTGTTTAGCGAACCCTCCTAATGCCAGTGGTGATTTTGATTAAAAATAAACTTTTATTTTTGGTCAGTAAGTGCAACATCCGCCACGAAAAATGAAAATTTAAATTAAAACAAATTTTTTTGTATTACGCTTTCCACTGTACCACTGATATTTATATATTTTTATATATTTCATTTTAATCTGTTGTTTTCTGAACAATTGCAAGAATCCTCCATATTAGTGTTGTCTGAAAAATTCTTAATTATGATTTTCAAATATATATTGATCAAAATATGTAGTTGGCAGGTTATTCCAACATTTGGAATAAATTATTAAAATCTGCCATTTGCATTGAATCACCACATATTGGAATGATAATAATTACTGGCTCCAGGATAAGTGTTTACATTATTGACGCATCCTTCATTTGACTCTTCATATATTGTGATATTGTAGTAGCTATGATTTATCTAAAGCTTCCGGTCTATGAGTTGCTATCTTTAATGTCACCAAACCATGCTACATTTAATATGGCTTTTGGTAGTTTCGTAGCTGTGTCTCGCTACATTGTGTAATGCTAGGGCATGCAGCAATGAATTATCCATGTTTAAAATTTGTTGCTACATTAGTGAAGCCAAGTCATGGTACATTTTAATTTAGTTTATCACATCTTATAGCTTATCATACAGTAGCTCTCCTTGTTGGTTTTTTGTATTTCCCCATGCGATCGTAGTCCATATAGCTTTGATTTAGCCGAGCTGCTTGATTGTAGTTGCTACAGTCTATAGCATCAGGCCAAGGTAATTTTAAAAAAATTCAGATATCAATATAGTATTAGGGCTTTTCTTATCTTTAGTAGGTGATGTTTTGTTAAATAATATTTTATTACATTTAATTTATCATCCCATGATCAATCAATCTAAAAAACTGTATGGCACTGATGTCCATATATTAACCCAGGTCCTGGTTTCAGTTCCTGTCAACTTTTATAAGATTTTTTCTCGGAACCAAAAACAAATCCACTTCTTATGCCTCCGAGTGGGACTTGATCTGTAAGTTTATCCCGTGAAAGAGAGTGCCACATATGATTAAAGTAAGGTAGATGGTTTAAATGTGCAATGGCAGACATTACAAGATGTATCGGATAGTGAAAATAATAATTTGTAATCTTTCTAATTGGAAATCGGAAATTTGGTCTGGGAACTCGCGGTAGTCAAACTGCAGCACCATTTGACTTAACGCCCACATATAGTGGACACATATGATATAAACATTGTCCTTAACCTGCCTAACTCTCAATATGAGGGTTATACTCGAGGAGCCAAGTTGATCAGACGCCAATTAAAACCTGACGCTGGTCAGGTTTCAACCGGAATCTTCAGCACAAGAAGTTGGAATGATTCCTCTCGTAGATAATTGACCTTTAACCTCAGTGAACATTATGGTCGCATAGATCCATGCTGGACAGGATTATAACTGAAGTTTTAGCTGCACGTGGGGCTCATGCTGTGAATCATACGGCTCTCTGCCTTTAGTTGGTTACTTAATTACATTAACTCAAGAGGAAACCGATGAAGGTTGCCAGGGTACTTATGATATTATACCATGAACTGAGTTGCAGCGTTCCATACCGGTATCCACATAGAACATTCCAAACCCGTAGGAGATTCGCTTTTAGGAAAATACTCCGGAACCGTGAGAATGTCTCGTGATATTACAGGATGTTGTAAGCATCTGCGAAGTAGTTTGAAGGTAATTATGAGATGATGTATTCTAAAATGTAATCTCGCATATTTCATTAATTGCTAATTCATTACTAGTAATGCATATGTTTTTGTGTCTGAAGTTGTGAGAATTTCTCGCAAAATACCAAGTGCCGGTTTGTTCATTTCTTCTTTTACGTTACGGTTGTTTCAAATTTTTAGGTTTTATTGGTAGTTAGATAATTTCTCCCAAGTAATTTTTTACACAAGTTTATGTTTAATGCCAGGCTCCGAAGGAAAAAAAATTTGATATGTTGTATAACTGATTTTTCTAAGACGCTTGAGGAGTGTTTTACAAAAAACTGGTAATTGGTTAATTAGATATAGATTTTGGAATATTTAAAAACTGGGGAAAAGGGGGGGGGGGTGTAACCATCCATTTACCCCAGTTTAAAAATATTAAAAAGTCTCTGTCTCATAAACCATTCTTGAGTTTTTTGTCAAGCACCCCTCAATTGTCTTTATAAAAAAAAATCAGGTTTTTTTGCCTCTGGAACCTGGTTATTATTAGTTTACTTAGCCATCAAGGAAATTATTGTTCTCACATTGTAAGAGCATCCATGAAAGTTTCTACAGTATTTATCTATTTGTCTGTCTCTATGTCTGTCTGTCTGTCTTTTTACTATTACAATCCTAGGTGGTCACTTTTAACAGTCTTGCTGTGAAATCTTTCTTGCTGATGAATTCTCTTTTAACCAGAGTTGTTTGTTAACATTTTATTAAATTGGAGATAAGTATCCAACCTTGTTAAGCCTTTGTTTTATATATTGTTATAACTATTTATCTTTATATTGAAATGCCTCTATATCCGTGATATATACTGTAATAACAATAATAATAATAATAATTAAACATTTAAATAGATAGTAAATCGTAATTGAACTGACCCTATTCTAGAATATAATGTTGAATAGTTAGTCTTAATTATTACCAATTTCATCTTATTAGGTGCTATAAGAAAGGAATTGTGTCTGTCCTTTTCTTTATCTTTACAGCTTATTGAATGCAAACAGCCTTATTTTAATCAATTTAATTTTCTTATACTTAGTATTACTTCTTATATGAATAATGTTCATCGCTTGTTCTTTGCATCTTGTTAAATGTAATATGTGTGTTCATCTCAAAATATAGATCATACATAGGCACATTGGAAATTACTCATTCTATCAAAAGTAGCGAAAGGAAGTTCAACATTGATGTTTTTTATGTTTTATTACCCTGATCGCTGGATCAAACCCCAGTGGACGGTACACTCAACTCTCTGGAAGTATTCTATAATCGTGCAGCTGGAAGTCAACTCACTGGCCCCTTGAACCTAGTATCAAGGAGTGCAGGTCTCCACAGGTTGAGAGAAGAATCTTCAGGGAGATTTGGTTTAATGAGCCTTTTCAACACATCTTAATGCATTTTGCTATTTGAGATGATAACCATTGCCAGTGACTTCAGGCAGATAATAACACAGTCAGTGTAAAGCAGTAGGAGCGTGTGTCTACTAATTGATAAGGTTTTGTTTTTTTTTGGCTACTTTTAAAGGTGCATTAACACCGAATCAGAAAATTGAATCATTGTGTAAGAATTGGGACGCCGGCGTTTAGCGCATCAGAAAACGCCTTCTGAATTTTGGTTCGGATACGATGTGAGTGAAGCTGAACTCATGCATGACCTATCCATGCTTTCTGTGTTGGCAATTCACGTGAATAACTACAAGTAACAGATTAATCATATTTCCTAGTTTTAATTTTGGAAGACTGTTATTTCTATCTATGCCTATGACACATCCCATCATTTTTTCCAACTGGATTTACTTTTACAACTTACAGGAAAGATTATAGCAAAGTGTCTACTTGCGGACATTAGACACAAACATACAGACATTTAGTATTTCTGGTATATGTGATGCTTGCTGATTTTGGGGATATTCTGTTGTGGCTCATGGGTAACTTAGTCAAATGATACCAACAAGTTGTCAGCCTCAGATAAGACTCAATTCCTAGATTTTTCGCTCAACGACGTTCGTTGGCCGACGTGAATCCATTGCGAACACAATATGACAAGACGTGTAAAACAGATCTGTCCACTCAGATAGCCACCAAGAAGCAGACTGTCGCATCATCAAGTATGGTACCCACAGACAGTGGCGATGTATTTGTCTCCCAACCATCTCTGCCTGAGAAATGGCCGAAATCTTTGAAGGCCTATTCCTCAAATACTGTTCTTTAAACAGCCATGTGTTTAAACTCCTGTAACTTTGTAACGAAATGTCAGATTTAAATGATTTTTTTGCCATTTTATAACTTTCATTTTACTGCTTCACCCATTATTAATAACTAAAAATTGATTGTTAGCAGGGACTGGCTGTTGGCTTGTCTTTGCCACATATTTAAGGTGCTTGTCTTTCAATCCCGTGGACCTGGGTTCAAGTTCTGTCAAGTAATAAGATTTTTTTCACAAAAAAAAAATCGCTTCCCAAGCCCCTTAATAAAACTCATTATGTGTAGAGCATCATTTGTATACAATATATGTTTGCCTTGTGAAATGGATTTCCACTTATTATATATGAAAGTGTTGAAGATTGCTAATTAGTAAATAAACTTCAAATTAGTAGAATATTAAATGTTATGACTGGGAAATATACAATTATTAACTCAAATTTAATTATCTGATTAAACGAAATACTGTACATCTAAACGGTAATGCTGTTCCCTTTTGTTTGTCTGCTTGCATTTCAATACTCACCTGCAGATCTCACAATGAATCATATTTGATTAATTCATTTCCGGGAATTTTTTTTTTCATGTGTTCAAATTGTATTTTTTTTTTTAATGTCATCGTCGACTTGCATAAGAAGGCAAAGGCCATCTGCTTAGTAATAGTGTTGAAGAACTGCCATTTTGAAGTTTAGTGAAGGGTGTATGATTTTCTTGTGCAATAAGGAAAATCAGTATTGTATGTTAGTAGTCATGTAATTTTATGCGAATATTAGCCCATGATGATTATTGCAGCAAATAAATTCTTGAATCTTGAATCATGTCGTTCACAAAGCACATAATTCAGGGATTACAAGGTGAGCAAATGTACCACGGGGCTGAGGGTGGAGGCCAGATTTGTGGTAGAGAATAACTAGCTACTTCCCCTTCCCCTAACAAGCTCTGTCGCTTATGGGTCTGCAATTAACAAATGTTGCTTCAGCCAATTAGGAACAAGGACTTTATGTTCAGGATATCTACATTTTCAAATAGATTAAGAATTGACATTGATAAAAAATATTGTCCATTATATCTAATATAACATTGTTGTTGCTATTGTTGATGTTGCTGTTGCTTTTGCCGTTGTTGCTTTTGTTGTTATTATTAATTTACTATTATTTCTAATATGATTACTGTTATCGATTGTTGCATTATTTTAAAATTTCCCCCTCTCCTTTTTTCCTACAGACTTCACTTTAATTTTAGTTGTTTTTTAGTTTTTATTAATTTATTCACTTTAAGTTATTTATGGTATCACAATTCATGTGGTAAAGCAATAGCACTGCAATTCTCTTTTTAAGTTATATTTGATTATTATTAATATTGTTATTGTTGTGATTGATGTTATTATCTCCAAGGATCATATTTCTACTAATTCTTACGTAATTCAGGAGATGCTGAGGAAGATTGTAAATTCAAACTATTCAAACTTTTATTATAAAAGGGATTCTAAATCTAGATTTTCTTACTTGCCAGACTAAGTTCTGTGTTGGTTTTTTTTTTTTTTTTCCCAGGTGAAAAGTAAACGAAGTTTAGACAAAGTACGAAGTCTGTTTTTCGGTGGTCGCAGCACATATGCATCAAAAGCGCAAACCAAAGAAGAAGATTTGGAAGAAGGTGAAATTTCATGTTTTTGTATTGGCAGTGACTATTGCTACACCAGTTTTAAATGAATTCCTAAATTCTGATTGGATGTTATGGTCCCAGCCAATTCATACAGGCAATAACAACCAATCAGAATTAGGAATTAATTTAAGAACAGTGTATAACAATAGCCACTGTCTATGATGTGTAATTATTAATTTGCAAAAACTAGTTTTTGGATAATCAAACAAAAATCAGTATAAAGTTTGACCGTTCTAGGATTTTTCATCAACGGAAATTGGAGGAATGGAATTTTTTTTTGCAGCAGTATATAATTCAACAGTGTTTTTTGTGGACATATAATTAACAACAGGTGTTTTGTCGGGGGGGGAAAACGTAAAGCTCTTTTTTACCCTCTTTTGTATCGACAAAATGTCTGTAGGCAAATTGGCTATTTCTTAGTAGCATTGTGTGTGAAATGTCATTAGATAAAACTTCCTGCAAACACACATTGGCATTTGATTTGGTTTTAATATTTGCAATTTTTTTTTTAGTTCTTTTATATTTAACTTTAGTGTTGTCTCATACCGACAACTCTATAGTTGTTAGTATGAAACCTGTGATTCTAAACCAGTCATCATCAAATGATTATTTTATAAATGTTAAACTTTATGATTCTGTTCACAATGACCAGAAAAAAAAGCACCTTGAACAGGTCTTCCATAATTGATTATGTGCGCTATAAAAATCTCGTAGAATAATAATAAAATTATAAGTTATGTTGGATGGATGGATTTATTTGATTTAAACACCAAGGATAACCCATGAAAGTCTGAAGAAGACTTATTTCCAGTCGGGTTTTTTTGGAGGTGATTGGACAGTACATTGGGATACAGTCCCTTACTCTTTTCTGAATAGTGTACTGCGTTCTTTAACGTGCACACGTGCTATAATGCACATGTGACCAAAGGTTTATACATCTCATCTGAAACACTGTGCCCTACCATAATCTGCATTTCAGCCCTTCAGCACACAAGAAGAGCAGCGACTGGAATTGAACCGGAGACCTGGTGATCTCCATGGTTCAGCGCACACACAGTGGCTACCACGAGTTTAGTCAACTGAGCTAAGCAGCTCTCTTGTTATCATAACTGATTTTGTTATTAATGTTAGCATTATTATTTTTCTTAATTATTGCATTATTCATTATTATGATATTTTGGTTATGTTTGTTATAATAATAATATTGTTGCTGCTGTTGATGTAAATATAGTCAGTGTTCTTTCTATAGTAAAGACTAAGTGTATATCTTGAGTTTTTTGACATTTTTATTATAAGCACAACTGAATACGCAGCTCATAATAGTCAGGCTAATAGTCAAGCATAATATCAATCAACACTATACCATCCATCAATCTGTTTTAATTTTATATCTTTGACAGACCCCGAGGAAATACACATCTACGATGTGAAGCTCTGTCAGGCTAAGCATCCTCCTCCGACGCTTCCCCCGCAGCCTGAGGGTCTCACCCAGGGACAAGTAGTCCGTCGTCACATCCTACAATCGATCATGGACAGCGAGAAGTCGTACATGATGTCATTACAACGTTTAATTCAGGTGAGAGTGTACTCGCTTCCTTGTACCATTGACCGATAGAAAAAATGCATCATAGTTATAAAAATACAGCCCATGGATGAGTTATTGTTTCCTGATTGGTGAATATATGGACTTGAGAAAGTGTGCTGTGTTTTGATTGGTTGATTTTTGCATTTGAAAAACTTGTACTGTCTTCTGATTGGACGGGTGATAAACTTTAGACATTTTTTTTTTTTGCTTTGTCAGGGACTTAGTTATGGTTGGTAGAGCCACCCAGCCTTGAAGTTTTCCACACAGTCTAAAACTAATTCCATGGCCTTCCACCTACCTTTATTAAACCCTTTCCCCATCATTATAATCCACTTTTGTTATTTAGAGTTTACCATTGTTATCACCTAAAATAAAGAAAAAAATAAAAAAAATAAAATAAAATAAAATTTCTATCACCCACCCTTAGTTTTTGACAGCTACAACCCTACTTTGTTATTGGATAATTATTTATAATAATACTATGGTTCATGAAGTTTTTGTACTTAAACAAATGTAGGAGATTTTTTTTTTTCTATCCACAGTTATATAAATTATTAATTGTTTAATAGTGAAATAACTAATTGTATTATGATATTATCATATATTATTCAATTGAATTATTTTTTAAATATATTATAGTCTTACGAAAAACCTCTCCTAGAGAGAGAACCACCGTTGTTGGAGAAGGAAAAAATCAAGACAATTTTCTACCGAATACGAGGCATCTACCAGTGTCACTTAATGTTCCAGATTGCCCTCTCAAGTCGTGTCAAACATTGGGATGAAATTGGTGAAATTGGAGACGTTTTTGTAGCATCTGTAAGTTAAAGTTGTAGCAGTTTACAAGAAAATAATGATAGTAATGCTATCAAAATTATAAATTAAGTCATAACTTGCTAACTGTTTTTACTGTAAGCTCAATTCAGTAGGATGAGAATATAATTGCTATCTTAATTGCCAATATCCTGTATTTAGGGAGACTAATTCTTGTTTTGCAAAAAGCCCACCACCCACTGATAATGAGGATTTGTTCGTTCATTCGTTTAAGTTCAAAATGACAGTGGAAGATCTGTCTTCAACCAGCTAACAGTTTCCTCATCCAGTTCAATCAGCCCAGGCATGCCTCTTCTTGGGGATTTGTAGACGTCACAGTCATCATTGCTGTGCATGATGGTTTGTGGCTCTCCACAGTCATAAATTGACCCAGGCTAAGTTGGTTTTTGCCTACCACCTTAAAAAATGGACTTTTCAACTTTTCCTGTCACAGCAGAAAAGCCATTTTTTGTTCTGATTTCTTTTCTTTCTTCTATCTCTTTTCCCTGTGATTTTGCCCAAGATTTTTTTTGCTACCTTCCTCATTGTATCTATCATCTTTCATGCCTGGATCTTCTACTAACTTAGTACAAGCTCAGTTCATAGTAAAATTCAACTCAGTAAAATATGACTTGTATATATATTTTATTAATATGTGGCAAAGACAAGCCAAACCAGTCATTCGTCGCAAATCGTGTTTCAGAGAAAATGGCCAAAACATGCTGAAATGTCAAATTTTTAAAAATCTATTTTATTGCACTAAACTAACCTTTATATATCTACATATCATTCTATGCTGTTATTTTCCCCATTTTCAATGTTAAAACAATACTTTTTAAGGATTTAAAGATAGTTTCTGCATGAGAAATGCCTGAAATCATAAACTTTGA